GCTATGCAGTACACAAAAATCCTGGGATCCTGTACTCCGTAGTATGGCTCCTTGGTAGAAAAAGCAGCAAGATAAACTTTTGGCAAAGACTTGTGACTTTCCCTATCAGCTTTCCCAGTCTTTGCTTGTGAGAAGCCAAAGGGAAGGTCACCAATGACACATACGTGACTGTGGGACGCTGCACTATCGGAACTGTGAGCCAATTGCCATGCGGCTGAATTGCATTCATGTGACTGCAGGATTGCTGCAATGACTGCAACTTCATTGACCAATCAGAAGTACCTCTTGTTCAGCACAATCATAACTTTGAATAGCAAAAGCAATAGCACTTATACACCACTTCATAGTGCTTTACAGCATACTCTAAATGGTTTACAGAGTCAGCATATTGCTGTTTGGTAATAGTAAGAACTGTTGGTGGATTTCTTTGCTGGTTTTATTGCCCCCAACAATCTGGGTCCTCATTTTACCGACCTCGGAAGGATGAAAGGCTAAGTCAATCTTGATCTGGTCAGGATCAAACTCCTCGCAGTGGGCAGAGTTCTAACCACTGCACTACCATGGCCTTTGAATGGTTGCTGAATGAGTGCCATATCTCAAGGACTACTTGCATCACTTAAATCCATTTGGAATTGTCAGGGCATGTTCTTAATGATTTCTCCCAGAAATGTAATGTTTGCAACTGGCCTACAATTGCACAAATTTTCCAATTTGAGATACATCTTTAGGCAACTTGGGAGTATATCTCTTCTGTAAGGAAGCAATGATTAGTTTCTTTAACTCTGCAGCTTGTGCCAGGAGGGGCAAAGGTTGAAAAAATAGGCGACGATGCTAATTTATTCATATGCGCACATTCTTGAACTGTATAAGCTGGAAAGGATCCAAAATTCCAGGACAAGTGATTGCTGAAGTTACATCCCAATGATGGCGTCTAAATCAAGGCAAATCTAATCAATTATGTTCATAATGGATGATATAAATTGTTGAAAGCATGCCATCAACTGTTCTGGCTCTCTCTACTAAATATGTTGAAAAAGATATTGCATATTATGGGAGATCAATACCAGTTTGTTCCAGGCAGCACAATGGAGACAGAGAAGTGTTCCTAACTGCCTCCTCTGTCATAGAATAGAAATTTAAATGGGCATTGACATAACTCCCACATTCTATATAATCTGATCCATCCATTTGTTTTACCTCATTCAACTAGAACAAGTAGGATTACTATAATTTGGCTTTATAAAGGTACTCTTTAGAAGCAGTTGTAGCCACATTCCACAAGTTAACCAGGCATGAGCACTAACACAATGTAGGAAGCATCTATTTCCACTAACTTATTCACATCTACCAGACATTTAGATTGGACATTTAAGTATACAATTTTCCACCCCTGAAGTCTGAAGACATTGATATGAACTGTCAGTCTAAAACTGACTAGAGAATGATTTGGCAAAATGACAAGCACATACAAGGTTTTCCATCTTATGCAAACAAAAAAGCAGTGTTCCCAGCTATCTCAGACCTGCAGTTCTTTAAATCCCAGCCCTAGGTGATGCAATCTTAAGTAAATTGACTTTGTTGGAAGCAAACAGTGAAAGGTCTGATAGTGAAAAAAAAAAAACATTTTTCCACAGGAAAAAAACAGACTGACAGATGCATTTTCCTTTTCCCTCACTGTCTGCTTGGGCTTAGCAGTGGTGGTCATCTCAATTTCTATTCACAAGGAAGGTTCCTGATGTGGCTGCATACTGGCTGGCCACCACCATCAGGCGAAGAGGAACAAATTTTTGCCTTAGCAGAAATGATATATATACTGCTCACAGAAAAGCAAATTTCTCTGTTATAGGTGTATACCAACCAATACAATATATTCCTAAGCATCAACATAAAGGATCAGATTGGGAAGCAAACTGAATCTGGGCAGTAAGCTATCTGATTTTATTGTAAAGAGTACAAAAAAGTAGCCCAGCTCAGCATGATATGATGTTTGTGGCTGCAGGTTGAAATGACATCTCTGCACTTTAAAAGGGCTGCATGGAAACAACCAAGGTGGCTGCTGCCAGCTCAAATGGTGCCTCCCTGACTTTCCCAAAGTTGTGCAGGAAAAAAGGAACTATCCAGCTGGGAAAGATATATAGAAGAGTCTGACTAGCCAAACCCCGCTTCTCCTGTATCCCCTGTCAGTATTTCCAGATGGCTGTTTGACCACATGCAGCCTTGAATTCTTCTGTGATGTGACTCTTCTGTAGTCAGACAGTTTGACTCATTTGCCTAACCTGAGAACTAGAGTTAAAGGCAGAGCTAAGCATGGGGGAAGCGTGGGCAAACAGAAAGACAACTAAGGAAGGTTCTGACAGCAGAAATAAAGCCAACTATTACCAGACAGCAAGGCTTATCAGGATCAAGTATCTAAGAAAGCGGAAGAGAAACACCTGCTTGACGTCTTTCTCCATAACGGCTATCCCAAAAACTTCGTATTCCAACACACAGCACCCAAACCACAACATACCACCCAGCCAATCACCACACAAAAACTAACCTTCCCATACACAAAAGGAGTGTCGGAAATGACAGCCAGAATTCTCCAATCCCTAGGAATAGCAATAGTCCATAAACCCACAGTCATACTCTGCCAGGAATTATCCAGATCCAAAGAGAGGATATAGAAGGATGAAAGAAACAATGTAATCTACAAAATCAACTATAACCATTGCAACCAATTCTAAGTGGGAAAAACATCATGCCAATTAAAAACTAGGATCCATGAACACCGGCTGGCAGTCAAATGCCACGATCCGAAATCCTTAATCTCTACCCACACTGACCCCAAACAACACCAGTTCAATTGGAGTAAATCCCAAATCTTTAATTTCTACCCACATCGACCCCAAACACCAGCTCAATTGAAGTAACACAAAAATCATTGCCCACGCTACCACCCACCACGCTCATGAGTTCATTGAAGCCTGGCACTCCAATTCCATCAACAGACACATTAACCTACAACCAGCCTATGAACCCCTCAGAATCCAAATCAACTGCACAGCCAACCAGAGACAGCACCGACCTTCAACTAGCCCACGCAAGCCCACCTCCCACCAGCAATTTACCTCCCACTCTCATTGATGACTCACTCCCGACTCATCATAAGACCCTCACTTGACACACCCACACCTTATAAATAGAAGAACACTGACATTCCCTAAACTCCGCTGAAGATGTTACCTAGCCTGGTAATGAAATGTTCAGAAACCAACCCACAAACTCGGAGAACGAAGCTCCACCCTCACAATCAAGTATTTCAGCCACAAAGACAAGAGCCACAGGAAGCAACCGCAAGTCTGCCTGAAATGCTGCTTGGGAGCTCAGATACTAAGGAACGGCCCTGCTCGTTGCTCCTCTTGGATCTTTAGAACAACCCTGCATGCAGCCTGAAGGCAGCTAGCTCTGTAACAAGAAACCCTGTGGCAAACATGATTATGCCAACTTCCAAAGTGGGCAAAAAGCGGGCAAATAATTCAAGGATAGCCAAACTGGCAAACTCCACCTGAAAGACCAAACCTGTGAGGTAATCCAGACAAGAAGCACAATGAATATTAGCTCCATCTCAAGGTTACTTTAATAGAACCTTGTAAGTCTGAAAGTATAGGTACAAGCAGTCCTCGACTTACAACAGTTCATTTAGAGACCCTTCAAAGTTACAACAGCACTGAAAAAGTGACTCATGACCATTTTTCACACTTATGACCATTGTGGCATCCCCATGGTCATGTGATAAAAATTCAGGTGCTTGGCAACTACTTATATTTATGACAGTTGCAGTATCTCAGGAGCTCGTAATCACCTTGTACAATCTTCTGAAAGCAAAGTCAATGGGGAAACCAGATTCACTTAACAACCATATTACTAACTTAACAATGGCAGTGATTCACCTAACAACTGTGGCAAGAAATGTTGCAAAATGGGGCAAAACCCACTTAACAAATGTCTCATAACAGAAATTTTGAGCTCAATTGTGGTCATAAATTGAGGACTACCTGTATTTCTGCCCTTCTTTCTTTTTTACTCTCTGAAAAACTAGGGGGTGTCCCTTCTGAAATGCTTCCCGTGCCCCATCTGCGTCTGTGCGCTGAGGGACCCTTTGCATGACGGCGGTGTAGGCTGCAACTCTTCCTGCTGTCTCCCAAAGTCATTCCTACATACCACTGTAGGATGCTGTTAAGTCAACTCAGCCTATCTAGAATAAACTGAACCCCACAAGGAACAATGGGATAAAGGGGGCTAGAGTCTTGTATCAGGTACATACTCAAACACAATAAAGTGCTAAAAAAGCCTTCACCCAATCTTTCTGTATGTCACCTATAATGGCCAAAAGAACTCATTCAAAATAGTATTAAGAAATCCAATCTACTTTAGAAGAATCCATAATTTTCCAGAAATTACATTGATAGCTTTGGAGGGTTTTTAATGTGACTGCTTCTGATGAGTGTATTTGAGTATATTTTTCATCAATTCTGTTAACAATTTTACCCAGTTTTGCAGTGGCTTTTTTTAGGAATGCTAGCCCTAGCTAAGTCACTTATGACATACACACCCCTTCATTTTGTTACCAAAAACTAACTAAACAAACTAATGGAGACCAGAACCATTAACAATTTTGTTGGACATATGTGAGTTCCTGAATTATAGACTGTGTACTATAAAAATCAAATCTAGGAGCACTGTTCTTAAAGTTCATAAAACTCTCAGCCTGTTTTATGAACTTTAAGAATGTACCTATGCAGCTACTATATAGTTTTATGTGGATTTTTCACCTAATACTTATGTTTTTCAACTTGGTAACTTCCCTAGGTATTTAATAATATTACTGTAGTGCCTCTTCTGTCATTTTTAAAGAGATAGCAATTGACAAAGATGATGAAAGCACTGACTATTTAAATTGCAATGCTTTTCATTATAAAAAGTTCTGCAAATATCCAGTAATCTTTATTTCTATTTACCTGTAAATGGACAATCCTTTGGAACACATCCTTTCTCATGCTCATCTCAACATCAAAGTGAGAAAGCTTTTTATCAGCTTCGGTACTTGCTGCACGGACATCTTTATCAGGGGATACGTGTTGTGGGAAATCCAATATGCTTCTTTCCACTATCAGAAGAAGGAAACAAAAACTTTCAAAGAAAATTTAACAGATAATATAGACTGATTTACTTTAAGTATTTGAAAGGAGAGACTTTCTCATTACAAATATATCATTTAAAGTTTTTAAGCTATGGTTACTAAGACATCTATTAAATAAACACCAAGTGACAAAATTAGTGGATCAGAGAAATGCTGTGGATATAATTTACTTGGACTTCAGTAAGGCATTTGATAAAGTAGACCACAACCTACTACTCGATAAGATAGAAAAATGCAGGTTAGATAGCATCACCACCAGATGGATCCGTAGCTGGCTGACCGGCCGTACTCAGCGTATGGTCCTCAATGGAACTGCATCTACATGGAAGGAAGTGTGTAGTGGGGTGCCCCAGGGCTCTGTTCTACGCCCAGTGCTCTTCAACATCTTCATCAACGATTTGGATGAGGGGATAGATGGGGAACTCATCAAATTTGCGGATGACACCAAGCTGGCAGGAATAGCCAACATTCCAGAAGATAGGCTTAAGATACAGGAGGACCTGGACAGACTTGAACATTGGGCGCTATCTAACAAAATGAAATTCAGTGGTGAAAAAAGTAAGGTTCTACATTTGGGCAAGAAAAACCAAATGTACAGGTACAGTATGGGGGTACCTTGCTCAATAGTAGCAACTGTGATAGGGATCATACAAAATAATTAGCATTTAATATATCTAATTTAAAATCAGTAATGGTAGAGTAGAGAAATGGTGGAAAACTAGTATACTTCCACCTAATGAACTACAATTCCCAGCATCTCTCCTCACTGGCTTTGCTGCCTAGGTTTAGGGTATGTTTAGGGTTGAGCAGCTTCTAGAGCACAATAGTCTCCCATCTTTGGAAGACAATTTTTCAAAATGTTAAATCATTTTTTAACATTTTTGGTATATTTTTTACTGAATAACCTCATTCAGAAGTGTGAGAAAGGGAAAATATCTACCTGCAGGGAGTTATTTCCAATTACTTTATATGAAGTAGATAATGAAAATAATGAAATTCAATGGTGAAAAAAGTAAGGTTCTACATTTGGGCAAGAAAAACCAAATGCACAGGTATAGTATAGGGGGTACCTTGCTCAGTAGTAGCAACTGTGAGAGAGATCTTGGGGTCCTAGAGGACAATCACTTAAATATGAGCCAACAGTGTGCTGCAGCTGCCAAAAAAGTCAATACAGTGCTAGGCTGCATTAACAGAGGGATAGAATCAAGATCACTTAAAAAGTGTTAATAGCACTTTACAATGCCTTGGTAAGGCCACACATGGAATACTGCATCCAGTTTTGGTCACCACGATGTAAAAAAGATGTTGAGACTCTAGAAAGAGTACAGAGAAGAGCAACAAATATGATCAGAGGACTGCAGGCTAAAACATATAAGGAACGGTTGCTGGAATTGGGTATGTCGACTCTAGTCTAATGAACAGAATGACGATGGGTGACATGATAGCAGTGTTCCAATATCTCAGGGGCTGCCACATAGAAGAGAGAGTCAAGCTATTCTCCAAAGCACCTGAAGGGCAAGACAAGAAGTAACGGATGGAAACTAACCAAAGAGAGATGCAACCTAGAACTAAGGAGAAATTTTCTGACAGTTAGAACAATTAATCAGTGGAACAACCTGCCTCCAGAAGCTGTGAATGCTCCAACACAGGAAGTATTTAAGAAGAGACTGGACAGCCATTTATTTATGAGACTTATATACCGCTTTAAGTGCAAGCACTCTCTAAGCGGTGTAAATGGTATAGGGTTTCCTGCCTAAGCAGGGGTTTGGATTAGAAGATGACCTCCAAGGTCCCTTCCAACTTTATTATTCTTGTTGTTGTTGTAACACTAAAATATAAATATCTATTTTATCTGTCCCCTACCTTCATCCAAATGTTCTCAGCACTGCCTATTGAACTTTTTTTTTTTTTTAAACTTTAACAACCTTGTGAGGCAAGGTGAAACAGAGTGACTTTAGACTTCTAGGCAGATTTTCAAGGCTGATCAGTTTTAAAAAATGCCAAAAAAACCTACAAAGAAATCACATCATTGTTTGGTTCTATATGTGATCAGACCAATGTTTTGTCATAAGTACTTTTACTGCAAAATTACATTACACAATCTTTTCTTCTGTCTGAGATTTTAATTTTCTTCTGATGAAGGCAATTAAGACTGATTCCAGTTATCAGTCTAACTATACTGATTATTATACATACCTGAATATTCCATTTCTAAATCTGCTAGCGCCTGCACGGTATTCTCATAAGTGATTACTTGCATATCAAGTATGCCAACACTGTCATAAACTTGCTTTGCTTTCTTGATAAGTTCTTCAGTTCTTGTTCTAATCTGCTCTGGTGAGAGATCCCATTTCAGGAAATTTCGGTCAGCTCCACTGTAAGAAGACACCTTGAAAAATGATGTAATCTCTGTTCCTAATGTCATTTTGAGTAAAATCCTTGGGCTTCTAGCTCTGCAATTTAAAATAAAAGGATAAAACAAAAAAAATTAATACTGCAAGAAACTCAATTACAAAAGCCTAAAGATGAAACCAGAGATAACAGATGTAACTGTCCATTAAGGGAGATGAAAGATCATGGTGTTTTATGGATAATTATTCTGCTAAGAAATTATATTCAAGATAAAAAAGGAAAATACGTATTCAGACAATATATCCAGAAGAAACAAAAAAAATCAATTTGAGGAACTAAAGTATGAAAAAAAAGAGAATAATTGAGTTCACAAATGCTTTTATTAGCTACTATTTTTTGACTAGGACAGATAGGTTTACACAATCTGCTAAGTCTTGGGCATCCTTCTTGCTCTTATCAAAATAATGAAAGCAATGTTGTGATGCAAACTCAACTATTCAACTGGTTTCCTGTGGGACCACTCTTTCTCTGCAAACCCAGCTTCTGTTGGCTGGAAAAGAAATCAAAATCCCAGCTTCTGCAATCACTTTTTATTTTAATGAGTTGTGAAATGGTCAACCTAGAGACTGCAAAGCTTTGAAATTACATTAATTTTTAATGCATATAATAGAACATTTCATCAAAAAACCCACATTCTTCTACAGCTTGACAGCAAGAAATTTCCTTCTCTGTGGCTGCTGTCATCCTGAATTTCTTAGCAACACTTTATCCAACAGCGGCATGTCACCTATGCAAATTATCATGATCACTAGGTGGCAGCCAAGCGATACAATAACCTTTAGCTCTTTTCTGCCATCTAGTGACTAAAAAAGGCTACTTGTTGATTTATATATAACAAAGCATTAACGCTGATTAGCTCATTCCTGATTTAATTCCAATTATGAACATGCAATTAAAAGTACTTATTGCTACTATTCTATCACTGGTGTAGTTGGGAATTCCCTTCCCAGTGGCTGCTGCTCAGAAGAGTCTTGGGTTCTTGCTTCCTTTCCCCACAATGTGTCCTTAGGGATGTTTACAGCTTCTACTTCACTCTCTATGGCTAACCCCCCTTCTCAAATTCCTAAGAGTACTTTTTCCACTTGCTGCATCATGGCTGCACAAGCCATTAAATGGCAATCAATTTAAAAAAATCTTAAATTTTGCTGCCATCTAATGGCTATTAGAATGAACATACATCCAACTAACCTATCATTCAAGGATTTTTTTTTTAAAGGGACAACAGGGCAGCATAGAATCCATTCCACATGTGCATTAAGAATGTGCTGTGGGGACAGAATGATTTAGAGTGAGATTATTTCCTCGCAGGTCTACAATGGAGTGGGAGCATAAAAATGTAGCTGTGTGGACATAGCCATAGACACGTTTTCTGTAGGACAGAATGGTAATTGACATGGCAAATGGTCTACATTTCATTCTTTTTTTTCTTAAGAAGCATTCTTTGTTAAACAAAACAAAATACAGCCTATTGGGCAAGACCTCAAAATGGTTTGCTATGTGCCCCATCCATCAGGCTCCCAGATTCTCTAAATAGGTGCGAGAAGTCACCTTTCAAAAAGGGGAACCCAACATAATGTATTTAAGATGGGAATAAAAAAGAATAATGGAAGCCAGGGGAAGATCTTAGATAAATATATCATATGAAGCAAGTCTGAATTCAACAACAAGCCTATTGATAGACAGCATGATAAACCATGATTGGTTTCTTCTCCAAAACAACCAGCTGGCTTTATACAATAACTTCCCTATAAAACAGTTAACAAATCACAATTGCTGGTTAGCATGAAAGTTTATGGTAAAACCAAACACATCACATTAGGATTAGTTTATAATGTGAACCAGATTATTTGTGGGTATGAAATTATGGAACTGAAATCCTGCTGCAGGCTAGTCTCTTAATATTGTGGCTGGGGAGCTATTTGATAAAAACAGAGAGCTTTTTAAAATACTATATTCTGCTATTTAAAAAAGTCTTTTCTTTCTCTTCATTGTATTCTTGATCTCTTGTTCTGTCTCAACATACTAAGTCGAAATACTTTACAAACTCTTTTCAGAATTTTCCTTGAAGTGGCCCTTATTTGAGATGAAGAAAAAGTGCCCAGATATTTCATAGGGGGCACTTCTTTTTTCTTTATCCAGAGTATAAAATTCTTCTTCTAATTGCAAGACAAAAAAACATCATCTGAACAAAGTGTGCAATAAGGGTGGAATGCCAGGGAATATTTCCCTATCTGCTAACCATTAGAAGACCACACCAAACAAATACAGTCATGGTTGGAATTCTGACAACATCAGAGAAACATAATACTGCTAAGCTTTATTCTTGTCTTCAAAAGAAATGCTGGAGTCCTGGCATGCCTAAGACACAAATGAATTTTTTTCCTACATTCACTACATCCCACATAACATAACAGACCAAAGGCATTTAAAGCTAAATTCTCTGGCATAAATTCCTCAAGCTGACATAGCTTGAACTCAGCCTTCAAAGGCAAACATAAGAAGAATCTTCTTTCTGTCCAACGTCCATTAATCAGGCAAAGAATCCTCCTGAGATTTTCATTAACAGTATAAATGAAAACTGAAGGTGCTCTCAAGAGGCTCTATGAGCATACATCATGGTAAGCAGAATTTGTTCAAACAAGGATGCTAAACTATAAACCCTCTATTTTCAAACCATAGTGCCTTAATGTATTGTGAGATTGCACTTCATATAAAAAGCTTGTATCCATTTATCAGCTCAAAAGTAAGTATGAGAAGTAAACAAGTACATGCAGTTAGATAAATGATTATTGGCTTTAATTCTGTATCATTTGCAAATAAAGCTACACACTAAATAATGGAACTGTTTCTATAATTAAGCTTAAATATCATTACTCTTCTGCTTACTTTAAAAGATCCAGCTAAATGTTTCTATGTGAACGCATTTAACATTAGGAACAATAGAACTTATTTCTATCTCTGTTATTTTCCAGCGGTAACCAACAATATGGATTAGTAATAGTTTTTAAGATATAATGGTAATATTACTTTCCAGACACTAAGCAGTACAAAATCCATTGATCTGGGAATGGAGTGTTCCAGAGAAGAATGGAATGTTCCCGTTTAGTCATGGCATGTCACATCTCCTCTCAGACTACATCTTTCCATAGGAGGTTGAGCAATTTTCATAAATAAGTCCTCAAACCAGAAGCAGGTGTTAAAATAGCACAGTCCAAAAGCAAGTTCAGCATGAACTGGACAAAAATAGAATGTTCCTGGGTTTTCCACAACATTTTATTCTATGTATGTGTTCCATTTTATAGTGGCATTATATTGTTAATGTGTTTTGCAGAAATAAAATGTCAATCAAGGATCAAACTCAAAGATTTTCTGATTTTATATGTTTTCCTATAATATACTCATCACAGATATTTATCAGACATTCAGGCTTTTGGCTATCAACAATTTGCTGCTGGATATTAAGCAGATATATAAATGTAGATGAATCTAAGCTTGGTAAAAATTATGCTAACGTTTTACCAACATTATCTGTGAAGGTGGCAAAACTGATAAATTCTGTCTGGGCTCTGAAGCTAAGCTGGGTCAATACCTGAATGGGAGTCATTCAAAAAAATACTTTGCAGGAATAACTTCCCTCAAGAAGTCCAGTTGGCATCCATTATAGGGTCATTCCAATTGGCCATCAAAATCAAACTTTTCTATTGGGCCTTTGAAGTTTACTTACTGCTAATATCTATCATTTTTATTTTATTGCTTTACTTTTGTATTTTGGTTTCATCTATTTATAAACAATTGTGAGTTGATCTGATTCAGTGGTACACAAATATTGATCAAGTGCCATTAAATTGGTGTTGACTCTCAGTGACCCTACAGATTTTCTCCAGGAATATCTGTCCCCAGTCTGGTACTGTAAATTTCCCCATAGTACACCCTTCACTGCTGCAATTCAGTCCATGTACTTGCTTCTGATAGTTCTCTTTTTGTCTTTTTTCATCCTTTCCAGCATTACAAACTTCTCCAAAGAGCTAGATATTTTTGTAACATGTCTGAAATATTTGACCCTGGTAATTTGTACCTCGATTGAATTGTTCATTATTCATTTGTTTGTTTTCTTGGCTATCCATAGAATTCTTAGGAGTCTTCACCAACACCAAGTATCAAAAGCATCAATATTCCTTCGATCCTACTTCTTCAACACACAACCTTCACTCCCTAGAGTGTCATATAAAATATCATTGTCTGCATGATTCTCATCTTCATGAGCATAGATATATCCTAGCATCTAGGTATCTTGCAAAGCCTTCATTGCTACTCCAGCAAATACTAGCCTGCAGTGTATCTTCTGACTGCTGGTTCTTTTACTGATGATAGTTGATCCTAAAAGACAGAAGCTATTTACTTCTTCAATATCTTCAACACCTTCAATATCTAATGAAGATGTATCTGTTGTAATAGAGTAATAGAGCTGGAAGGGACCTTGGAGGTCTTCTAGTCTAGCCCCTCACTCAAGCAGGAGAACCTATACCATCTCAGACAGGTGACTGTCCAGTATCTTCTTAAAAATGTCCAATGATGAAAACTCACGATTTCTGAAGGCAAGCTGTTCCACTGGTTAATTGTCCTCACTGTTAGGAACTTTCTCCCTTAATTCCAGGTTGCTTCTGTCTTTGATCAGTTTCCAACCATTGTTTCTTGTCTATATATGTACATACATACATATAAATTTTAAAATGTAATAAATAAATATAAATTTTTCACTGTGCCCCTTGACTTTTATTACTAGAGTCTACAAATCCTGTGCCTTTTCAACAGAATAGTGTTATGATCATAGCACAGGTTATTTGATGTTTCTACCATTTTCCAATCCAGCTTTCCTCAATATATATTCTACATATAGGTTAAATAATGTACAAATATAAGCATCAAATATGGAAGGCAAACAACAGTCCTGAAGAAGACACTTTTTATATAGAGGAGTAACTCTGAGCAGCATATAACAAACTACTTATATTATGGCCAAGAAATTACATGAATGCATGCACGAAGACAGGAGATTTCCAGCAAAAATCAATCTGAGATATTTATTTTACTTTTTATCAGCATGCACATGGATTCTTGAAATAAAATAGGATTTTGCTTGGTTTCCCATCCTAAATAAGACAGAATATTAAGTTTGGATCTGGCTTATTGTATTGAGGAATCCAACCAATATCCAAAACAACAAGTACCTTCATTTCAATTAAAATTTAAAATCTTAAATTTATATGCACACAGAAAAGCAGCTGGGGTATATATACCCATTATTTAATCTTTCTTACCTTTACCATTGCCTTAATGATATACCTCTTATAATTATCAATAATGTATTCTTTGGGTAGAATTGCAGTTATTAAAATGAATGTCCTGCCAAAGTTTATTTTTTTGTTTCAAATGTTACCTATTCTAAAGAATGAATGTAATTTAGATGAATGGCAAAAAGGTATTAATAAATTTGTTTGGGCAGGGAAAAAACCAAGGGTGAAACTTAAAATAATGCAAGATTTTCGTGAGAGAGGTGGACTCAAGGTACCAAATATGAAATTGTATTATGATGCTGTAGTATTGACATTGATTAGCGACTGGGTGAATTTAACAAATACAGAAATACTTCATTTGGAAGGCTGGGACCTACTTTTTGGATGGCATGCCTATTTAATATTTAATAAAAAAGTGGATTGGGTTTTTAAGTCTCATATTATAAGAATTTCTTTGCTAAGAGTGTGGAGAAAGTACTATAAAAGTGACTTCAAAATACCATTATGGGCTATACCTCGGCATGCCATAGAAGGCATAAGGAAAGGGGTTAATATGGATATGGTCTCTTATGCACAGCTACTTAGATGGGATGGCCAAGACTGGCAGTTAAAATCTTTGGAAGAATTAACACATGAAAATTTAACCTATTCATGGTTCCAATATAGACAAATAGTGGATAGATGGAAGATGGATTGTAAAATGGGCTGGCTCAGAGAAGATGAAATTCTTCTAAAACAAGTAAGAGATCAAAGGCCAACCCACATTAAGAGAGTTTATGGGGTCTTAGTGGAATTGGATTCAGAACCTGAACTAGTTAAAGATTGTATGATTAAATGGGCACAGAATATTGGTGAAACGATTTCAATGGATACTTGGGAACTTATTTGGATAAGAAATGTTAAATTCACACAAGCGCAAAATTTAAGAGAGAATTTTTATAAGATGTTTTATAGATGGCACCTTGATCCAAAGAAAATGTCCATTATGTACCCTAACCTACAGCCGAAATGCTGGAGATGTGGACATTTGGATGCTACCTATTACCATATTTGGTGGACGTGTAAGCATATAAAAGCTTTTTGGATTAAGATATGGTGGAATATTCAAAGAATTTTTAAAAGGAGGGTAAAATTTACTCCGCAATTATTTTTATTAGGTATTGTTATTGATTGTGATGCTAAGGAGGTTATATTGATGTTAAATTTGATTACAGCCGCTAGGCTGTTAATAGGACAATATTGGAAGAAGGAATCCTTGCCTACTTTACAAGAATGGTTTCATAAAGTTTCGTATTTGGCAGAAATGGCAAAGATTTCGGCTTTTTTAAAGGAGCAATCTCAAGAAAAATTTTTTGCGGTATGGGAAAAATGGATAAATTTCATACAATATAATTTGGATATGGAAAAATATTATCTAGCCTTTTTATAATTTGTAATGATTGTTTTTTCTTTCTTTCTTCTTTTTCTTCTCCCCTTTTTTTTATATATATACTTTTTACGTATTATTATTCATACATTTTTTTTATATATGTTTTATTTCTCGTCTACTTTTTTCTTTTTTCTTTCTCTCTCTCTTTTTTTTTCCATTTTTTTTCCTTTCTTAGTATATATTATTCATTTTAAAGCTTATGTTACGCATATTATTATTATATATATTATTACTGTGACTTTTATTATTATTATTAATTATTTTATAAATTGTAAATGTTATTTTTAAAATTTGTTAAATAATCCTATATTCAGTTCTGGGAAGTCGGGGGGGGGAGGGTGGGGTGGTTTGGGAGGGGGGGGTGGATTTTTATTTGTAAAATTTTTGAAAAATTTCAATTAAAAAAAAAAAAATAATGTATTCTTGTGACTATTTTAGCTGTGAAAAATAAGCACTTCTTGAAACATAGCCAAATATCTTTAGTTCAGAAAAAAGCTTTTCAAATGACCTTGTTTATCAATTACTATTGGCTATTTTATTTTTTGTCACTGATCTGAATCTTGATGACCAAAAACTGTATTATAAAATATATTATTCTAGCTTAAAAACAATTTTAGTTTGAATTCCTTTAGATGCCATGCAACTCCAATTTTCCAACTGTAATGCAATACACATTGATTTGAGAGGCATGGATTTAATAAAATATTTAATAAAAAATTATTTCAACAGAAGCAAGTACTGGTTTTCTTAAATTAATTGAATATGTTATAATGTTTACTGCCTAATGTCACAAGAGATGACACATCCAACATTATGAAGCTGCAGAGTATTGTCTGCATAATTTTCATTTTCTAGAAAATTAAAGCTTATTTTGCGTATTAATAGCAACATCCAAGTTCTGTTGACAACACAGTACCAATCAGAAAACTAAACTAATCAATATATTCACAGGGAATAAAAAAGACAAGTTATAATTCTTGCTATGGATTAACACCATTGATCATTGTTATGACTTGGGGATTGCCCCCTCCCCCGAATTAACTGACAGGAGGAAATCCAGGTGTCGAAATCCAGTGTTTAAAAGGCGACAAGCCTATTCACCTTCTTGGCAACAGGCGACATTTCACGCAGAGAAGGATTTACAAAAGGACAACTGCTTCATACAAGGCTACTTCAGTCCGGCCTAGCCATTTTTAACTCCTCTCCTTTTGCTAATGCAAGTTTCTGCTTTAGGGAATCGAGGGAAGATGCAAATGATCTCACATTGCAAACGTCGGAGGGCCACATTGTGCGATCCCACCCGAATCTTTATCTGGGCGACAAATTCCATGCTGGTGAAACGGGTGTGTCTTGCACAGAATACCTGCTCAAGCTTCGGCCCGCAGAAATGGCCAAGGACAGCATAGAGCGAGGAAAAGAACGGACAACCGCGTTCCGACCGGCCCGAAGACAGCCAGCTGCTCCCCCCGAGCCTTCGCAATCGCCACCGCTGCTTTTCCCCAGCACAAGCGCCGGCAACAGCTTCCCCACGTGCAGCCAAGAAGCCTGGCTGGCGACTCTGGGGAAGGAGCGGCAGAGTCACTTCCGCCCATCTGAGCCTCGGCGTCGCGCGCCCTCTACAGACTCCCGCGCGCGCTGCTCACGTTTCCCTCCTTCTCCCTTCCGAGAACGCCACGGGAGCCCGCAAGCCAGCGGCAGGGAGAAGTTTGCTGCGCCCGGACGCCCCGCGCGAGTCAGCGAAGGAAAGCAAGCAGCCCGCCCGTCTGACCAACCATTATCCTCCCTCCTGTTGGCACGGTAAGTGACAGCCGCTGGCTTCCCTGGGCGCGGATGGTTGCTGTCCGCTGTGCGGCAGAATAGGAGCCCTGGCCGTGGCGCTGTAAGAGGCTGCCGCCGCCGCCGCCTTTACCTATAAACACTGAATGGAACCCGCATCTGCCTCCCGGGTTTGTTTGTGCGTCTTTGAGAGCCGTCTCTAGTGACTGGCCACCATCAAGGCAAATCACCTGGTTTGCCTGCTTCCTCGTCCCCCCGCCCGGCAGTCATCTTTCGGTCTTCAGCATCCTTGAGAGGACTCAGGGATGCTGGAGCCCGCGTCTGGTTGTGTTTTAGAATTCAAGGGATGGGATGCGAAAGATGGACGAGCGGATGCTGTTTGGGCCAGCATTTCTTTTCGAGTGCTGCCTGGTAGGTGTTCTCCGTGTAAAAATACGATCGCTCTCATTTTACGCGCTCGGACCATTAAAGATGCCGCTGATTACCTAGTGTGGGTCCCAAAGTGTGACATTTCAAATATCAGATTGCCCAGTTATATAACCCCATAAAGCATATCGCTGGGGTTGAATCACGCTGCATTTTCGAATGGGTTGTACCATCATTCGGACAAAACATGCTTCTTTAATATCATTATGAGGCCACAGCTTCTGCCTCCAGTGGGCTATTCCCCTGTTAAAGAAAAATATGCTGATATAGCCACACTTGCATTTCCCTTCTTGCAAATCTCCAACCACTGCTTCACCATTTGCCGTAAAAACCTTTGTAGTCTTTTCAGCAATAATTTCAAGATGTGTAAAACTTATTTTTCAGGATAAAATATGAAAAAAAATGTTATAAGAAAATTGAGAATCTTCGAAGTTGGGCTAAAATACTTTCTTGAAGTTATATAATTCTAATAGGCACAGGAGATATTGAATGTAAATTAAGCTCTGACTCAGCATGTGGCACTAATCACAAGTTGGCATTGAGGTCACAATGTTCTAGATTTCATTATAAATTGAAGGTTTATGAAAAGTTGGACTGCTTATAAGTCAAGTGAAAAGTAAGACATTTTCATGGGTGCTCACAAAGGAGTAGTAAATAATTCACCATGACTTCATTGTGGAAATGATGTGAGTTTATAATTTGTGTCATTTTTGTGAGTAGAAATATGATGTCATCTTACCTTCTTTGGGATATCTTCAGAATTTTTTGTTTTTTCTAAGTACATTGTTTAAATTAAACCATATAATTCAGTTTAGATGACACTAAAGCCAATTCTGAATTTGCAATCACAATTGCAAAGAATAAGGAGACAGAAACCTATTTGGAGAAGTATAGTTCATCCATTGTAATAGAATATGCTTTTGGTTCAGTAGTAGGGCTAACAAGGGCATGGTTTTAGTTTTAAAGTTTATTAAACATTTAGATTGTACAGCTTATAGTGCACAAATATCTAAGTGCTATATTGTATGCCATACAGCAAATTACTAGCATTTGACATCACAAAACAAAATGCTAAATGGTTCTTAGCTATGTATTTACTGTTATGGCTTTCTGTATAATGTGCAAATGGCAATAATTACTAACTTTATTTATATCCTGCCTTTATTATTTTTATAAATAACTTAAGGCAGTGAATATACACAATACTTCTTCCTCCTCCTATTTTCCCCACCACAACAACCCTATCAGGTGAATTGAGCTGAGAGTGATTGGCCGAAAGCTTTCATGCCTAAGGGAAGACAAATGGGGATTTGATCAAGAAGCTACATAAAATTTTCTTCCAGCAAGATTACTGTACTGTGTTTCACACTGTCAATTGTGGTTTGTTTGTGGGTTATTCAATAAATCATATTTGCTAGACTCACGCAATATGATGAGTTGTATGGGTTCTGTGTCTGAGTTCATGGAAAAATTGCCACTGAGTTGCTGTTCAACAAATCATTGTGTATATAAAGTGTATATTAGAGATAATGGGAGACCCAAGCGAAAGCAAAAAAAAAATCTTTTTGATGTTTATGTTTATTTTATGAGTTTCTAGTCAGAAGTGTAGCTGTTGAATTTAGTAGGGTTTACTCTCAAGTAAGCATTTTAGGATTGCAGCCTTAAATTTCCTAGATTATTGGGCCCAAAATGTCAAAGAAAATGGGTTCGGAAGGAAACAAGACAATGTATTCAGGGAGATAATTGCAGGCATAAGGAATAAACATGGGGAGGGAAGAGGAAGGATGATTATTGATATTTGAAGGAACTGAAAACTTTATATGACTGCAAATGATAGAACTGGATATATGCAAAGATACATTTTGGATAGAGAAAAATAAGAGGCAGGATTTGTGTTACATAAAGGTAAGAAGTTTATCCTAGATTGATATTATCCACACATTGGCAGCTTGTATGTTTGAAACTGGCAAGTTTCCTGTTGTAGATTTAATTCCTTTTTCCCTTTCTGCCCATTGCCAGTATGCAATGAATCTGAAGCCTGACTAGAATGCAAAGATGAGCTGGGTTAATGTGGCAGAGGAGTTGAATTGTGAACCAGAAACTAAACTCTGAGAAACAATCTTTTGAAAAGAAACCCTATCCATTTTGGATTAAGACATATAATAGCATTCCAAGTATGGCAGAGATAAAGAAATCATAAAACTGTTTCTATATTTTAGAATAAGGGAAAGAAATTGGGGAAGGAAAGGAAATCAGACCTAGAAACAAGCAGGTGGCACAAAGAAAACATTCACAAAATAAAACAATGACAGTACAACCAGTAGAACACTCAAATTACCTCTCTCTCTGCTGTTCTGCATTACAGTGCATAGGTTTTGTTATGATTCATTGGAAGGAACCACTTAGGTCTGCCTCAGCATAAGATGGATCCAGATATATTTAATTCTGAGTGATTGGCAGTAGATTGCTTACAGCTAAAGTTATGATAATTGCATTTCCCAAATTATGTGATTGCAGGAAGAAAGCTTGAAAGAACCATGAGTGGATTTGAGGGTAGAAAAACTGTTAAGTCCTAGTACTCAAAATACATTTTTGGTGCTTAAATTCTTTGAGATCTGACACTTTTTATCTTAGGTATATGCATTTTACAACAGGTAATGCTTGATGAATTTGTGGATTTTAGTAAAAAGCAAATCAAATCATGCATACCTCAAGTATGCCCAGCCCTTGTTTGGGTAATGATATATAATCAGAAATTCAAACAGACAAGTTTAGTGCCAACATAAGACAGGAAACTAGGATCAGGAGGGAATCAGAAAAAAAATAATCCAGGATGGATATTAATGCATTAATTTACTTATAAAAGTAAAAAAAATAGCCCTCAAACTTTTGTACTACATTAGAAATTGAAAAGAACTTGATAGATAGTGGTATAATGTAGGCTGGAAATTAGCATTCTTTAAAGGATAACTGACAACCACAATATTTTTAAAGCAACAGAGAAGAAAGGATATGGTAGAATATAGGAATAAACTAACAACAACAACAACAACAATAATAATAACAATAGAGTTGGAAGTGACTTTGGAGGTCTTCTAGTCCAACCCCCTGCTCAAGCAGGAATCCCTATACCATTTTGGACAAATGGTTGTCCAGTCTCTTCTTAAATACTTCCAGTGTTGAAGCATTCACAACCTCTGGAGGCAGGTTGTTCCACTGATTAATTTTTTTAACTGTCAAGACATTTCTTAGTTCTAGGTTGCTTCTTTCTTTGATTAGTTTCCATCCATTGCTTCTTGTCCTGCCTTCAGGTGCTTTGGAGAATAGCTTCACTCCCTCTTTGTGGCAACCCCTGAGATATTGGAAGTTATGAAATAACATTTAATTTTTTAATTAATAGAATATTTAATATTATCAAAGAATGACGCAGATTAGTGTAAGGGCTGAAGCCGATGAGTAAAACAGGAATTCTCAGGCTTGTCAGAATTGTTGAATAAACATTGAATCGATGTTTGCCAATCTCAAGGCTGGAAAGAGAACAGCCCAATGTCCTTTTATTCAAAAATTGGGAGGAAAAAATTATGATTTAAATTTTGAAACAAATATATATTGTATTTAATGCCCGATCCTTCTGCATTAAGCAGATTTTTTGTTTATACATGATTTCTCTTGTCTACAATAAAACAATTATATAAAACTGTAGTGTGCCGGTGAGCAGAAGCAAATTCCCGATTATGGATTTAATGTCTGGCAAGTCAAATTTTATTGCCATGCCTGACAAGAAGTTTGACAATCATAATACAAGAAACGTTAGAATATATAGATTGGGGAACTTTTGCTTCCCTTATAAGTCAGCATTTTATGATTTCCCAAGATACATAAACTGGAAGACTATCTCCAAAATGGCTTTTTATCTTAATGCTACTTTGATATTTGAATCATTAGCATTAGATTGTACTCTACTGTTTTAGTGAAGAGCATCATTGCTTATGTAAAAGATTTAACACCCTTACCCCCGATTTTAGCACAGTAGAACATGGCTGATGAATATAAAATAAAACAGGTTTGGAGAAAGAAGACAGGGAAGAGCTTTTCTCTTACTCTCAAAACATTGGGACCATCCAGTGAGGCTGGTAGGAAATTTAAAACAGAGAAAAGAAAGTAATTTTTCATACAGTGTGTAATTTACTTGTATTCATTGTATGGCGTGATTGTTACCAATCTGAATAGTTTTGAAGGGGTTTGGAGTTGTTCTCACAATGCTTAGCCACATGCAAATGGTCAGCCATTTGT